CTGTTTTGTTTTTCTAACCATTGTCTGGAGAAAGGGAGGGAGTAAGCCTGCCCCTGGGGTAGCCTACCCTCCTGCTGTCCCCAGCCTTCTGTAGGTCCAAACCTCCATCATAGCCCTGCCTCTCAACCCTGAAAAAGTTTGGGGTGCTGGCCACAATGTGGCTCCTCAGGTAGCTTTTGAAGTTGTGCACTCTGGAGAGATTTGATGGGACATTTCTGAACACTTCTCTCAGCTTCTAAAGTCCACTCACACATCAGGGTTACCGTGAGTCCTGAGTATATAATTACTGTGTCATTTGAATATCCTTAAATTATATTTATTTTGGAAAGGGTGCCACAGTGTGTTGCACAATCAAGAACTTGGTTCTGCTAGGAATACACTCATCCAGGGTTTGATGAAATAATACTGCAGCTGAAAGAGACTTCACCTTGAAGCTGGTCTCATTCTTCCACTGCCCAAGCATTGAGGCTGTCCCTCAGCTGCAGGGGCTTGCGACAGCCTAGAAACACACCCTAGGGAAAGCAGAGTGCGTGGAAGTTAGTTATCGGAACTGCCTTTTGTCCCTCCCCAGGCTGAGTTTGGGTCTTCTCTGCTCTCATTTCTCCTTTTTGTGTTGACTCTTAAGAACAAGGGCGGCAGGCAGAGCTCTTACCCCTCAGCACGGCGCTCACTGGCAGTGCACTCCACACACTGTTCTTCACGTAAAAAACAAGAACACACTTTGAAGCTATGCCAAATGGCAAGGAGATTTTAACCCTGAAACATGTCGTAGGAGAGCAGGACACAAGGAATTCCAGGCCTGGAAGATGTCACTAGAGCTGCTGGGCACACTCACACTGCAGGTGAGAGCACAGCTCTGGTGCGGGGTGGTGGGGGTGGTTCTCGTGACTTGGGGAATGCAGAGAAAGTACGTCTAGGGCAAAAGTCAGGAGGACGCTAAGACACTGGGACATCAAATAACGCCGGGTCTCTTTTATCAGGCAGAGAGAATTCCAGGGTGCTCACATATATAATTTCTGAGACTTCCTTTTCTTCCAGAGCAACTATTTTGAAATCATTTTCTCCACAGTTTCTGAGGTGTTGTGAAGCCAGAGTCGACCTTGACAGCAGCATGCTTATTCGTTTCCCCTGGGTGTAGACAGATCCCCTCTGAGCACGGAGCCACATGCCACAAGATAGGCTGTGAATGACACCGTGCTTACTGTTTATTTACCTCTCCTCTCAGTCCAAGTGTAATCACTAGGTTCTAGGGACTCAGTGTTGCAACTCTGTGTGTGTGTGTGTGTGTGTGTGTGTAAAGTGATACCCTCACATATTTTGCCAGCAGTATGAGAACCTATGTGCTATATAATTTCTTCTAAAACTTTACATTACTTAGGTGAAATTCAAATACAAGAGTAAACCATGCTTTTAAAAACACAAATTTTGGGAGGCAGAGTCAAGTAGATCTGTGAATTCGAGGCCAGCCAAAGTTACATCTTAAGGGGTTTGACAGCTCAATAAGTAAAATGCTTGCTACCTAAACATGAGGACCTGGTTTTAGATCCCCAGCCCCATATAAGAGCCAAGCATTAGGGTCTACAGCCCTAACCCAGTGCTGGGGAGGGGCTCCTGAAAGCTTGCTGGCCAGCCAATCCAACAATGAATTCTAGATTCAGTGAGTCAAAAATAAAGTGGAGAGGGCTGGTGAGATGCCTAAGCAGGTGAAAGTGTTCACCACCAAGCCTGATTACCTCAGATCTGGAAACTTGCCCTCTGGCCTCCTCCACACATGCACAAGGTTCGAGTGCCTCCTCCCAGTAAATAAGTCAAATGCTTATCTTAGGAGTATGAATATTTTATGTGCATTTATGCCTGTGTACCACATGCATGCCTGTGCCAATGGAAACCAGAAGAGGGTACCATACCTCCTGCATTTCGAGTTATAGGCAGTTGTGAGCACCATGTGAGTTCCTGTTGGGAATTAAACCCAGGTCTTCCGGAAGAGCAGCCAGTGTTCTTAACTACTGAGCTATCTCTCTAGGGGAGGAGAGAAAGGAAAATTAAATTAAATTAAAAAGTAATTGGCAATAGAGAAGGATATTTGATACTGACAGATACTTGATACTGACATCTGGTCTCCGCACATGCAGGCACAGGAAAACACAGCTGCACATACATGTGTACATGCACATAGCAACATATACCAGAAATAAAGTGTTGAGACCTAGATCCTTTATACAAGAATGTCATCTGTCTAGTTCAAATTGGAGAGGAAATCACCTTTCCCTTCTCACCTTCGATCTGCCTCAGGAAACACCAGTGATGCACAGGTTTTTCTCCAGGTATGGCTTGCCTGTAGACTCACGTATTTTAGGTGTACAGGCTGGTGACTGTTGAAAAAATTACAGTTCATAGAAACACCTCAATAATCAAAATGTATAGCTGTCTATCAGGGCACGTGCCTGTAATCCTAGCATTTGAGAGGCAGAGGCAAGCAAATCTCTCAAGTTTGAAGCCAGCATGGCTTGCATATCCATGGCCTGTGTAGCTGGGGCTACACTGAGACGGGAGAGAGTTTGTGTATGTTCCCTTGTGATCCCTCCCCTAATCCCTAGCCTCAGACAACCTCCAAGCTGCTTTCTTTCACTGTAGCTGTACTTTTGTAAGAATTTAAGTGAACTCTTTTGTTCTACAGCCTGTTATACTCATTGTTCATTTGACATAACCGTTCAAGGTGATCTCTCTTTCATGTTCCCACCAACTACAGGCCAGTTGCAGTTGCTCCACATCCTCTTGAACACTAGGGATTACTGTTGTTTTTAACTTTAGCTGTTCTAAGTGATGCATTTTTAAACTAATATAGGATAAATAACTGTGCTTTTATTTTACGTTTTGTTTTCTTTTGTTGCCTTGACTGTCCTAGATAATGGTGCTTTTTTTTTTCTTTACTATATTTTTAGACTGTTTTATGTGTGTGTGTTGCCTACATGTATGTCTGTGTACCACATGCATGCCTAGTGCGTGAGAAGGTCAGAAGTAGTTGGATACCCTGGAATGACGAGTTACAGATGGTGGTGAGCAGCTGTGTGTGTGCTAGAAACCACACCAGGGTCATCTGCAAGAGCAACAAGTACTCTCAGCTGCTGAGCCACCTCTCCAACTCAGTGTTATCTTACTAACCATTCATAGTCAGATGCTTCTCAGCTTAGGATGGCTTACATGGTAGGATTATGTCCTAGTAAACCCAACATAAATTGAAAATGCTGAAAGGCAAACATTCATTTTCTGACTTAAGCCAGTAAACACCATGGCTTAGCTTCATGTACTCCATAGAGTACCTTTGGTTCTGTTTACCCTTCAGATAGTGTGGCTCACTAGAAGCCGCTCCTACCTTAAGGGTATCGTAAATATTCTGAATATAAGCCTGCTGTCAAGTATATATTTTGGAAATATTTTTCAAAGGAGAAAAGTTTGAATAAACTTAATTTTTCTCATTCAGTCTTATAGATTGTGCTTTTTGAGTTCTTTTTAGAAAGTCTGTCTAACTTGGGGCTATGGAGATGGCTTAGTCAGGAAGTAAACTTGACCTGTTTTGGACCCCCAGGATCCCTTTAAAAAGCTGGATGTGTGCCTATAATCCCAGCACGGGGAGCTGGAGACAGGTAGATCTTTGGAGTTCATTGGCTAGCCTAGCCAAGCCAGTGTGCTCAGGTTCAGAGAGAAACCCTGTCTCAGAAAATAAGCTGGAAAGTGATTGAGAACAACACTTGAAGTTGACCTTTGGCCTATACATGTATGGGTGCACACATACAAACATAATATATGCACATACATACAAAAAAAGAAAAAAAACTGTCTAACAATGTAAAAAGTACTTTTTCCTTTGTTTTCTTCTGGAAGTTTTGTGTTTATGTTTAGAGCTTAGCTGGGGGGGGGGTGGTTTGTTTTTGTTTTGAGATAGGATCTCGCTATATAGCTGAGGCTGGCCTGGAACTTATGATTCTGGTGCCTCAGCTCCCTAAATGCTGGAACTACGGGGGTGTCTCACCACAACCTATCTCTATAGTATATTTTAATTTATTTGCATGTGGGGTGAGTGTGAGATGAGGTTCAAGCTTATTTTTTCACTAAATGTATAACCAGTTCTTTGAGTCACATTTTCCCCCTTGAGTCTCTTTATATCCTTGTTGAAGATCAAGTGACCATCAGCGTAAGGAGTGGCTGGCATGAATAGTGTAGTGTATGTTCTAGTGTCTTCCTCTATTTGTGTGCAGAAATTTCATTTAGGAAATGCTGATGTCTTGAGAAAGTCAGTTCTCATAAAGATATATGTGTTGGTGAGAGTATAAAATCCAGTGGGACGCTCCCCAGCTCCAGAATAGCTAATCTAACTGTGCAGGAGTCTAGTGAGAGGGATAGGTCTGATTAATTTTGCTGTGTAACTTTTTTTAGTAAAGATTTTTGTTTGGTTGGTTTTTGTTTTTTAAAGAAAGGCTCTTCACATGGCAGTTCAGTGTCCAAGTGGGTTACATAGTAATGGGAAGAAGGACTGCCTCTGACATAATCTGATTGGCCTGCTCTTTGATCACCTCCCCCTGAGGGGGTAGCAGCCTTAACAGGCCACAGAAGATGACAATGCAGGCACTCCTGATGAGATGTGATAGACTAGGATCAGAAGGAAGGAGAGGAGGACCTCCCCTATCAGCAGACTTGGGGAGGGACATGCGTGGAGAAGGGGGAGGGAAAGTGGGGTTAGGAGGGGAGGGGGTGGGTTTATGGGGGGATACAAAGTGAATAAAGTGTAATTAATAAGAATTTAAAAAAGAAAGACTCTTCAATTTAATTCTGCATTGTTGGGTTGCTCTCCATGATACTAGTATAAGTGTGTATTCATAGCAGGAATGTATATTTCCTCATTTTCCATATTCTCAGCAACATTTGATATTATCAAATCTTTATTTTTTTTAATCAATCATATACAGCTGTGCTTTGTTTTGCCTTTTCTTGTTTTTAAATAGAAACTCAATGTCATCTTTCCGTCCTGGGAGAGCGCACAGTGAGAGTCGCAGGACTGTGTTTTACACCAATGAAGAGTGGGAACTTTTAGACCCACCTCCTAAAGACCTGGAGGAGTCCTTGGTACAGGAAGAGAGGAAGAAGCAGATGCCTGAGGGGAGCAAAGGTACCGAATGCACCTGTGCTCTGTTGCTCTCCGTGCTGCCATTTGTCACCTCCAGGGACACAGGAGACACTTGACTGGCAGAGCTCCTGGCAGGAAGTAGGGCTTTGTATTATAGGGAGAGGGTGGCAATAACTCATAAAGGTTTGTAAAGTGCTGCGAGGAATAAATGTCCCTCTAGCCCGGCCGGCAGCTGCAAACTGTTTCCAGGAGATGGAACCTGTCATGCCTCTGTGCATCAGAGAAAAGCTGCCTGAAGAAACTTTGTGGGTAACTAAGCCAGGCATAATACACCTGTGGTTCCAGGGCCTGGGATACTGAAGCAGGAGGATTGCACCCTGGGCTATGTATCAAGAGTCTGTGTTACACACATATGCACCCCATCTTTATTTACAGAAATTTGGGTGGTACTCAGAAGAACACATAGGATCATAGATTCTGGAGAACTGGTTAAATTAGTCATATTACTGTAACAAGTATCTGAGATGAACTCTTATGGAGAGAAAGGGTTTATCTTGGTTCACAGTTGTAGGGACTTGTCTATGACCAACTGAACTCACTGCTTTGAGCCTATGGGTATGCATCATTGTGGGAACATGTGGCCAGGAAGCAAAAGAGAGAAGGGCTGGGAGACCACTCTCTGGAAGACTTGACATTAAGCTCCCAGGTTTCATCACCTCCAGAACTGGCAAGCTAACGATTTTAGGCTTTAACACATGGGCCTTTGGGAGACATGCTAGATCCAAACAAGTCAGAAACATGGGCCTTGGTGAGTTATGAAGCAGGCACACCAGGTAATCCAGTGCCACTTAGATTCCAGATGCTGTTGGCCCCTTCCAGTCTCTGCCGGACCCCAGGGGGCCACTGTGTGCCTCCAACAGTGTAGATACCTTTATTTCGACTTTTTATGTCTGCTGTTTGTGTTTTTGAGTATACATTTGAAGCCATTCATACATAACATTTATTTGGATCCTTTAATATGTAAAGTCACACTTTTAAAATGTATTTATACTTTTTAAAAAACATTCATTTTGTTTTTATTTTTAGCCAAAAACAAATGAGTAAAAGTAAGAAGCCAAGGATTACCTAGTGCATCTCAGTTGTCTTTACAGTGTTCATAAAGTCATCTGTAAAGAGTGGGCCAGCAAGGATGCTCTGCTGGTTTTAGACCTATTGGATATTCTCCGTAGTGAGGTGGAGCAAAGGGGCCTTTGGCTGCCCTGCTCTCTTCATGCATTGATAAGTCCACAACTCCCAGAGGGTGATTTGTAAGAATACCAGAAGGTTTGACTTGCTCAAAAAACTTGTTTTTATTTTTGCTTTTAATATAGGAGTCTCTAGTTCCGGATTCCCCTTTGAATTTGGACGAAATCCTTACAAAGGAAAGCGCCCCTTGAAAGACATAATTGGGTCTTACAAAAATCGCCACAGCAGTAGTGATCCCTTGATTGAGGGAACAGCATCAGGCAGCGGGTGTCTCTCTAAGCCAGTCTCTGAGATGCAGCTCCAAATTCAAAGCCAGCAGGAGGAGATGGAGCAACTCAAGAAGGATCTGTCCAGCCAGAAGGTAACTGTCTCCTGACTTCTGTGTGTCCCTTCAGTGGGCCAAAGACCACAGAGTCTTCTCTTGCTCCCCAGGAGCCCTTCCCTGAAGTTCATGCTGCAGGAGCCACCATCCTGTGCCATGAGCTATGCCCATGGTTTATTCAAAGACCCTAGACCATGGGGACAGACGGAAAAGTCCTTTGCAGAAGGTCGCAGGGTGCTGCTCTCTGCAGCCATGCCCAGTTCCTCAGCCTGGAGCTCTGAAGTTTCCATATCCTGTCAGATGGTAGTATTTTTCTTCTACCTAGTTGCTGGACAGGTCAGTGGATCTTAGAGCCTGGATTCCCCCCAACCCTGTTTTCTTTTATTTTTAATTATGTATGTAAGTATGTGAATGCAGGTACCCATGGAGGCCAGGAAAGGATGTCAAATCCAGTGAGCCTCCCAACATGGGTTCTGGGAACCAGGCTCAGATCCTCTGCAAGAGCAGTATGTGCTCTGAACTGCTGAGTCATCTTTCTCACTACCCACACATACACAGCACCCCCAAACACACTTTCATTTACTATTTGTTTTTGAGACAGCATCTTGCCATGTAGCCTAGGCTGGCCTGGAACAATTGACCCTCTTGCCCCAGCACTGGAACTAGAGGCATGTGCCGTCACACAGTACTTCACAGATCCCTTAGCACTGATAAACATGTGCCAGAAACCGTTACTAATTGCAGCATGCACATCCTTTATTTCCCGTTTCCTATTATTGTTCTCTTCAGTCTGTATTTGTAGAGCAAATGTTTTTTCCTCTCTATTTTTGAAATCTTTCAGGAGGAAGTTCAGTATTAAAATGTGTCCAATGAAGTTTCTGCATTTCCTGAAATTCCAATGATACCTTATGTAACACTGTTATGGTTTCTGTCTTTTCCCTACCCTGGCTTTCTTACTCTTCAACTCCTCATCATCTTGGCCCTTAGGAGCTCATTCGGCTACTCCAGCAGACAGTCCGGTCATCCCAATATGACAAGTATTTCACAAGCCACCAAATCAGCCAGGGCGTCCCAAGGGACACGCTGGAACTTCTCCACCAAAAGGATGAGCAGATCCTGGGCCTCAGCAGCCAGCTGGAGAGGTTTGGCCTGGAGAAGGAGAGTCTCCAGCAGGAAGTGAGGACGCTGAAGAACAAGGTGGGCGAGCTCAATGAGCGGCTAGGGATGCTGATGGAGACCATCCAGGCCAAGGACGAAGTCATCATCAAACTCAGTGAATGTGAGGGCAACGTGTCTTCACCCACCATGGGGCCCACCTCTCCTTTGGCCACCCCAACCAGCAGGGACCAGCTGGAGCTGGACAGGCTAAAAGTAAGGACAGGGTGTGGGCTGGCGTTTTGAACAGACATCCAAACTCCGTTAGCTCCATCAGCATTGATCCCTAGAGGTCCTGTTTTCATGAGCTAATCTGTTAAGAAAGCAGCACTGGGGGTAGGGCACAGAAACAGAAACTTTATAATCAAATTTCAAGCATTTTAAGGAATTTCATTGACACTGTTGCTGGGATACTTTCACCTCTTTCTGTTCCTTACTTAGGGGTAGCTGAAATACCTTTCCCCTTTTATTTATCCCACCCTCAAGATTTCATGATGTCATGAAACATATGGAAGTTGTCAGTTTCCCCTTCTGTGTACGTAAATGTAAACACAGACTTAATTTGCACAGCCTCCCACAGGCCTGGGTACCAATATTGTTCCAGTAGTCAGAGTAGAGCCAGCTGGGAAAATGGACCTAGCTCCAGGCAGTCCGGAAAAGAAGCCAGCTCAGTCAGGGTCAGTGCCCAACATGAGGAGTCCTGCCCTTCAAAGAAAGGACAGAACTGTCTTCCCATTACCCCACTCTAAGATAACCCAAGGGTGGGAGGCTGACTCCTGAACAGAAGGGAACTGTGGTGACAAGCAGCAGATAAAGGAGGAGGCACACTCTCCCTGTGGGAAGCAAGGACAGCCTGCCTCTTCTGCCTCTTGAGAATCTTGCTGGTCCCAAGCAGGGAGCTGAACCGTTGGGCTGCTGTAAGGCTGAGGAGACCAGCACATCTTTGCTGCCAGCAGCTCCTGAGACTCTACTGGAGAAGTTTCACTTACACAGGCATCCCCTGGGACATGGGCATTAGGTAGAGCCCACCTGACTCTAGCAGACCCCAAATAGGTCTATAGCTACTGGCCCCAATGTTGCCACACAACCACTGTCTTCTTGCAAATAATTTGGTTTCAGGTGTTTGAGTTCCAACTGGAATTTATCCTTGAAGGGTTCAGGTGTGTTACTGTTGCCATCATTACAGAGTGTGTGTTTCATGGCTTCCAGCGCCTGTCATTTGCCAGCAATGAGCTGAGGGAGTACTCAGCAGGCTGGGGACTTCAGAGTTATGAGCACTGAAACGGTGGCAGCATTGTTGGAATGTGTGGGTGGTCTGTTTTAGTGACAACACCCTTTGGATTCACAAAGCCAGCATGGTTTGGTTTGGTTTAGATATGTGTATGGTTGTAAGCATGTGTGCACAGGTGTGCTCGTGCACGTGGGGCTAGATACTGATATTCCTCCTCTGTACCTCTCCAACCTTATTTTTTTAGATAAAGTCTGAGCCCAGAGCTTACCAGTTGGCCTGGAAGCCCCAGAGATGCTCCTATCTCCATACTCCCTGCACTAGGGGTTATAGACCATCACACAGGCTTTTATTACATGCGTGATGGAAATCCAAACGTAGGGCCACATACGCTTTACTGGCTAAGCCCACTCCACAGCTCCCACTAGGATTTACTAATGAGAAACCAAAACACCTCTTATTTCATATTTATATCTACTATAAAACAGCCTTAATTATTTTATTTATTTATATATTGAGACAAGGTTTCATGTTGTAGCTCAGGCTGACCCTAAACTCACTGTAGCCTAGGTTGGCCTCAAACTCAAGGTAATCCTTTTGTCTCTATATCCAGGGTACTGGAATTATCAGGTGTGAGCTATCATGCTTGGCTGCTTTTTGTTTGTTTTTTTTTTGTATGTGTGGGTTTTTTTTTATTAATTACACTTTATTCACTTTGTATCCCCCCATAAGCCCCTCCCTCCTCCCCTGCTGATCCCACCCTCCCTCCTCCTTACTCTTCTTTTTATAAGCAGTCTTAGTGTTGCCTGTAGAGATCAGTTTTGTTTATATGCTCATCCTTAAATGTTCTGTCCCTTACTGTGCATTTTCAAAGTAGTAATATGCTTAGTGTCAGCATTTGAAGCATGGGCTTTTCAGACAGTCGGTTTTGCTCTTGGCAGGAGAGAAGTGTATGGCACACATTTCCATGGGGAGCCTAGCCAGAATGTGAGAATGGGCTATGTAGCCTCTATGATCCCTGAACCTTTGGAGACTGCTAACTTACCTCATCCAAGCAGGCCATCTACTCCTGTTTCCTTATGTAGCTGGATTAATTTTGAATGAGTGGTGAGGATCTTTTTCCTCAACATTTCTCAACAGTTTTAAAGCTATGGCTCCAAGGTCTCCACAGTGAAGCTTAGTAGGGATACTTCATAAGTGGCAGGTGGTTGGTACCTTCCTAGTAAGCAGGGGCAGCCTGCCTAGGTCAGGCCTGCACAGTTTTTGGTGTCGCTCTTCCTGGGCCAGTTACTGCTGCAAGATCCATTCCTCTCCACAAGTAGAAAAGCTGATTTTGTGAGCACTGTGAAGGCAGAGGATATGGAAGAGGGTAGGTGGCTTACACAGAGCTCAGCCAGCCTTACCCTGGAAGCTCTGACTGTGGCAGTTACCTCAAGTTTCTGCCTTATCTGTGAAATAGTGCTATACCTACCCCACCATAGTGTATTATGAGGGTTGAAGGAAGTAGTCCACATCTGGGCCTGGCACCTTGTGCAGTCTTAACTTCCAAACGTTATTGTTATAGCAACATTCCCAAGAAAGTATACTTATGGTAAATGGTCAGAATTTACTTAGACTGGAGCACATATTTTACACTAAAGACAAATTCACACAGCGAGTGGGGACCATGCCCCTGTCTCCTTGTCTTCCCCTCACAGCTCAATATATTTAGTTCCTCTCCAGCCAACGTTCCTTAACTGTCCTGCCTTATAATGATGTGTTTGTTCAAAAGGAATACAGTATTTTTAAGATGCCAAAAGAGGGGAGAAGATGCCATGATTTGGGGTCAGAAAAGACTGCTTTAACTTTCTTTTAGGTCTGACATTTTCACAATTTGGATTGCCCAGGCTGAGTTGGTGAGGTGCCAGGGATAGGGTACAGAGGTGGGGAGGCTCAAATACTCAACCCAGGCCTCAGAACTCAGAAGCTGGCTTCAGCACAGCATTTAGTGGATGCATAGCCTGGGGTGTCTGGGAAATAATGGTAAGAACGGCTCCTTGGACTCAGGAGGTCTAAGGGAGACCAGGAAGCTTATGTGCCTTGCCCACAGTGCTTATGACCCATGGCATGTGCACCATGAGTGTCAGCAAATCAGGAAAACCTTTCCAGCTCTTCTGCATCTTATAGGGACAGTCTTCAGCCTCAAGGAAGGTGGAGATCGCAAGAGTGTCTGGAGAAACATTTAGAAATGGCCAGGGCCAGAGCAAGGACATGGTTACAAAGGTGGAATTTATGAGTATTTACAAACCACAGCCTTAAAAATAGTTCTAATTCATCTTTATTTAAAAGCTTCCTTGGATTATCATGAAGATGATTTAAAGGAGTCTGCAAACTTTGTTTTCAAAATACCTTACATGAAAACACTTCCCTACTCAGCCACAAGTACTTCAAGTACAGCAAAATTTGTAACACCAGGAGGCATAGGCAAGCCAGATCTTTGAGTTCAAGGCCAGACTGGTCTACTTAGTGAGTTTTAGGACAGCCAGGGATACATAATAGAGAGACCCTGTATTCATACACACAAACACACGCACACATACACACACACACAAATTGTCTCCAACTTGTTAAATCCTCCAAATAGAAAATAAATGTCACAGAAGTAAACAGTTGGCCAGTCCAGTGAAGGGTCTACTGTGTTCTTGGTAACTTGGGAGGTGGTGATGGGGACTGGAACCAGGGCCTTGTGCCTCATAGGCAAATGCTTTACCACTGACCCTTTGTCCTGTTGTCCTTCTCCTTCAGCTTTTCCACGATTTTGAAACTTTGCAGTATACAAAAGTGAAGAGTGTGTTCTCCAAAGAGCATCATTCTTAAGAGATTTTGTGTACTTTTGTAGCCTTTTTTTGGACATCAGAAGAAGAAAACAGGAAACAAATTAGGAACCTCCCACAGAGGGCCTCTGAAAGGATCTGCCCTGTAGACTATCAAAGCAAATGTTGAGACTTATGGCCAAACTTTGGGCAGAGTGCAGGGAATCTTATGAAAGAAGTGGGAAATAGTAAGATCTGGAGAGGACAGGAGCTCCACAAGGAGAGCAACAGGACCAAAAAATTTTAACACAGGGGTCTTTCCTGAGGCTGATACTCCAACCAAGTACCATGCATGGAGATAACCTAGAACCCCTGCACAGATGTAGCCCATGGCAGTTCAGTGTCCAAGTGGGTTCCATAGTAATGGGAACAGGAACTGCTTCTGACATGAACTGATTGGCCTGCTCTCTGATCGCCTCCCCCTGAGCAGGTAGCAGTCTTACCAGGCCACAGAGGAAGACAATGCAGCCACTCCTGATGAGACCTAACAGACTAGGATCAGAAGGAAGAAAAAGAAACCCTCCCCTACCAGTGGACTTGGGGAGGGGCATTCGTGGAGAAGGGGGAGGAAGAAAGGGATTGGGAGGGGAGGAGAGAGGGAACTAGAGGGGGGATACAAAGTAAATAAAGTGTAATTAAAAATAAAATTAAATTAAAATTTTAAAAATTCTTATAAAAAATAGAAGCTGCATAAGTAAAAATGAGGACCTACAAAGAATATGTTCAATTTCTCTGGTTTAAGAGAATGTTAAATTACTGTTTTTTTCTCATCACAACTTAATCAGTATGAATGGATTTAGAAAATACATTCTTACTGGGCTTGGTGGCTCACACCTGTAATCCTAGCACTCAGGGAGACATAGGCAGGCGGATCTCTGTGAGTTCGGGATCTGGTCTACAAACCAAGTTTAGGACAGCCAAGGCTGCACAGAGAAACCCTGTCTTGAAAAAAAGAAAATATATTCTTTTTACTTCTGCAATCACTTGAGAAAAGTCACCACTGCTAAGTAAATGTTTTTCCCACCTCCTTCATTACAGCAGCAGTTCCCATTGCCACAGATGGCCAAAATGATTCATCAGAAAGCTCCTACTAACATCTTCAAATTTTTTTAGAACTTGCTCTCAACTTAGCAGGACTCAAAAATGCTAATTCCATAGGATAATTAGCCAAAATGCAACCCACATGAATTGATTTAAAAAAATTTTTATTTTTCCCAACAGGATAGTCTGCAAGGGTACAAAACCCAAAATAAATTTCTAAACAAGGAAATTTTGGAACTCTCAGCTCTACGAAGAAATGCAGAAAGGAGAGAGAGAGATCTGATGGCGAAGGTAAGTCAAGATGGATGTGTTTTACTGTGGATGGGAGGGTGGAAACCACATTTAAGTGGATATGCTTTAAAACCTACCCAACTACCGTGACGGGAATAATGTGGCTACCAGTATCAAAATACATGTGAAGCGTGGGGGGCACATTTTCTTTGTTTCTTTGTTAATGACAAAGAAATACTCTCACCTGTGGCCTTCTTCACACATTTTTTAATGTTTTCAGAGATAGGGTCCCCTAAATTAAAATTATATAGATTTCCATCTACACCATTGAGATTTAGTTTCACATGAAAGAACATTATCATTTCCTTAGATCCAGCAGGGTTGGTTTGAGAGTCATGATTGTGGCTACAGAGGGCTTTGGAAACTATAAGGGGCTACAAGTATTCCAACTGTATGCTACTGAGTAGCAGCGCCTGGCGCCTGTCTACAGCTGCTGTTTGTATATACTATTTTTGAGCAGCCTTCCAAGCACAGTTATAAGCCTCATTCCTGCATGTTTGCCAAGGTAAAGATGAGTTTTCTGATCAGGTATAGCAGATGGGAACTAGTCCTGCCTGGACAAAATGTGCTAACAGAGTTGGTGTGCACAGGTGTCACAGTGCTAGGGGCTGGAGTAGGGGGAGCATTCATGAACCACGTAACTAGGTAGGATTAGGCCTGACCTCGGTAATCGGCTCATGACCCAGTTTCTGTTGCTCACCCTAACCATGCTGAAGGGTGGTACCTTTGCCTATCACCGCTTCTTAGCAAAAAGAAGGAAACCAGAGCAGCCTGTTTTAACCCTGAAAGGGTCTGCGGCATGAATTAACCTTTTGTTTACGGCAGGCTCACTTCCCAATCTTTGGGCATGCCGGTCTGGCCTCATTGGTTGCCTACAGTTCCTATGGCTTGTTTTTCCTGTGCTTGTCTCTGGACGGAGATAACACCTTACATTCTTTGCAGTACTCTAGCCTGGAAGCCAAGCTCTGCCAGATAGAAAGTAAATACTTGATACTGCTTCAAGAAATGAAGACACCAGTTTGCTCAGAAGAGCAGGGGCCTGCCAGAGATGTCATAGCCCAGTTGTTGGAGGATGCTCTGCAGGTTGAGAGCCAAGAACAGCCGGAGCAGGCATTCGTTAAGCCTCATCTGGTCAGGTAAATGTGCTGAGTCTGTTGGTGCAGGCCACCCATTTCCAAGGTTTCTTTTCCAAGGCCAGAGAGACTCACAGGGTACTAATACTGTGTGTCCTATTAGATGCCCTGACAAGTGCTGTCAGGCCAAAAAAGCAGAAAGCATCATTCTCCCTCAGAAATCAAGTGGTGGGGCTGGAATCAGTCAGGGCCTCTTCATTCCAAGACTGTGACAAAGTAGCCTCATCTTCAACACATTCCTCCTTCTGCAGGGGCCAGTTTTCCAAGGAGCAGGAGCCATTTTTTCACACTGGTGCATCCCATCAAGGGAACTGCCAGCAAAGTGGCCATGGAGGGAAGCTGGCTTTCCTTGTATAGGAAGACAGTTTCTATGACCTGATTGAGTGGCCCTACACCACTCAATCTGAGACAAACCATGAACCCATGTCCAAGATGTACTTGGACACACATATGTGAAATACTGCATCTTGGGGGGTGGGTTGTCATAGAACCTAAAATGGATCTTGGATTAAAAGCTCATGAAATTATTTTCTGACAAGTCTCACAGTGTCAGGGCTATGAGAAATCTGCAGGATCACCTGGCATAACCTCCTCTGCTGTCCCTGTCACTCACATACAGTGAGTCTCTGGCCTTGCTCTTTGCAGTCTCCTCCCTGTCTTTCCTCCAGCCTCAGACAAAACCCTTTGTCTGGCTTGGGTCCCTCCCCAAGCTGACAGACCCTACCAGCAGGAACAGTGCTTGACAAATGACAGAAATGTACTTTGAGAATATAACCAACAGCGTTGTTACAGGACACTTATTCCAAGGTGTGCTGGGTATGGGGACTGCTAAGAAGTTCATGTACAGAATTGTTTTAACACTCATTGCAGATGGCATTTTGCCCTCACTTTGTAAGTGAGGCAGCTCAGTTTGGAGGTAGTGTAGCAAGAATATTCTGGGTTACACACCCAATGGGACATGAATGAGACCCCAGCCAAGGCAGCCAGAGTCTCAAGGTCAAGAGTGCTGCCTCCACACCATATATGGTTGCTTTCCTCATAGTCACTGGTGACCTCTGGAAGCTCTCCTAAAGTGTTACATTCTTCCCATGTGCATTTAGGAAGCTCTGTGCATTTTGTGCTGCTTTGCAGAACTCCATTAGATGACATTATTGCACAGTGGCGTTGTTGCTTCCCCTCATGAAGGGCACTTAGGACCTTACCAGTTTTCTTAGTTACAAACACCATGATATATGTTCTGTGTACCCAGACTAGAGTTTCTCCAGGACGTAGGAGAGAAACAAGATTCCTGATGTGGAAGAAGTGCTTATCTTCAACTCTAGTAGTTTTGATTTCCAATGTTCCTGAGGGGTTTACACGTTCACTGTGCCAAATGCTCTCTACTAGATTCTGATGCTGCTGTGATGAATCATCGACTTAGCAGCAAGTTTGCTGTCATAGAGTTCATAGGTCAGAAGGCCACATGAGGTCATACATAGGTGTCAGCAGCACACACAGCTCTCTCTTATGTTTTGTCTCTCCTTCCTCTTCTATTGTCATTTTCCTCTGATCTGTTCTTCAGACTTCCCTTTTCCCCTTTGAAGGGCTCATGTGGATATCAGGTCCTTTGGTAACCTGACAATGTCTTTGTCTTAATTCTGTAACCTTAATAACCATCTTCCACTGTCTACTCTTTGTATACAGTCACAGATTTCAGGGGTAGGATGTTGAAATCTACGGGCCCATATCTTATCCACCAAAGCTTTGATTGATGTTCATACCCAATGTCTTATGAATATCCTCTTCCTTAAAGCGATGGCTTCTAGACATAGTGGTATACACCATAATCCCAAGTACGTGGAAGGATGAGGCAGAAGGATCACTTGATCCTCTAATGCCTAGGCTGGTAAACATAGTAAGATATTAAAATAATACCTTTTGAAGCATGAAGTTGTTTCATCTCTAAGTGTGATATATAAAGACACGGACATATACATTGACAGAGCCACATAGATGAATCTTTTTTCTTTTTCTTTGTTTCTTTTATTCTGAAGCAGTGTCTTTCTAGCTACAGCCAGACTTGCCTAGAATTTACAGTCTTCCTTCTTCAGTCTCCTGAACACTGGGATCAGCGGAGTACACTGTGGTACTCAGCTTAGGTCAGTTTTGTTTGGTGATAGTGTCATCTGAAAGTGATCCCTGCACAGTATTGGGAATCGATCTCATTTGACCTTTTTCCATGTAGATGGCCAGTTGTCCTGGTCCTGTTCATCAAGAAGCTTGCTATGTGCTTGATGGTCTGAAATGTCTCCTGTTTCACTGCACCCTTTGCCAAGACCATGCCATTGCTTCTATCCCTCTTGTTATTTATCCACAGTGAGTTTGATATCTACGGGTTTAGGACTGTCCCTGATGATGATGAGGAAGAGAAGTTGGTCGCCAAGGTCCGAGCATTAGACCTGAAGACTCTGTATCTCACAGAAAACCAGGAAGTTTCCACTGGGGTCAAGTGGGAAAACTATTTTGCGAGCACAATGAACAGGGAGATGGTATGCTCTCCCGAGCTGAAAAACCTGATCCGAGCAGGCATTCCTCATGAGTACCGCTCCAAGGTGTGGAAGTGGTGTGTTGACCGTCACACTAGGAAGTTCAAGGACAGCATGGAGCCCGGCTACTTCCAGACCTTGCTCCAGAAGGCTCTAGAGAAACAGAACCCAGCCTCCAAGCAGATTGAGCTGGACCTGCTGCGGACTCTGCCCAACAACAAACATTACTCCAGCCCCACATCAGAGGGCATACAGAAGCTGCGCAGTGTCCTCCTCGCCTTCTCCTGGAGGAATCCAGATATTGGCTACTGCCAAGGCCTAAACAGGTGGGTATCAGACTATGCCCGTCTGTACTTTAGGAAACCTCCAGGCACCAGGCACTACCTGGCAGCTCCCTCTCCTCCTTGCTGACTAAGAAAAGCCTATTCTTGGGAAGAGGAGAGATAGCAGCAAGAAAGTTCTTATACTGCAGTACCCCCAGTTCTACAATAACTCGGGCAGGTTGTGCTTCAGAAAGCATAAGGAGTACAGAGGCAGGCAGAGGGTGTGGCTCACTGGTAGTGTGTTCTTGGCACAAGTGAAACCCTGGTCTAGTCCCCAGCACCAGAAGTCAGTAAGCACAGAAGTCAGCCCATATGGAGCATCTGGGAGTCTCATTCTCTCCTTAGCTCTTGACTTCACATTTGGGTTTTATTCATAAAAATCTGATTGCACTGGTTGACCATTGATGGAGTAAACGTTTGTATCAAGTGTTTATACAGGATCCTGAATGGGTTTTTTTCCCCTCTGATTAAAACTCAGCCCTTGAAGAACCTAAACTTGCTTGCCTTTATGTGTGTGTGTGTGTGTGTGTGTGTGTGTGTGTGTGTGTGTGTGTGTGTGTGTAATTTTTTCTTAACAATTTCACACGTGCATGCAGTGCACCCTGACCACTGTAATCCCTAGGGCTCTCCCAACCCTCTATCATCCCTGTCTAACCCCCTCCTCCACATAAATCTCTCACATTCATGTCTATTTAATTTTGTAGCCATTGAGTAGACTGTCTTACAGGTCTTGAAAGTCTTCCTTGCTTCCGTAAGCATAAAAAGCTTAGGCCCTCTCACCTTTTGTTAGTGCTCTAGGCTTGTCCTTCTGAGCTGTGTGCTGGGCTAGGACAAGGCTTTCAGGGTACCACAGCTGGGTACCCAACCAACTCCTCTCAGCACCACACAGTGTGTGCCAGGACCAGCTTCTTACCATGAGTCTTGTCTTCCTACACTTCATCTCTCTGCTGTCACTGCCGTTGCCGAATTTGGATTCCTTTCCAGGTAGGGGTAGTAGGTAACCAAGCCCTGCCACAAAGATAAAATACTGAGCATGGTGACATACACCTTTAATCCCAGCACTTGGGAGGCAGAAGTAAGTGGATCTCTGTGAGTTCAGGGCTAGCCTGGTCTATATAGTCAGTTGTAGGCCAGTCAGGGCCAGTGAGACCCTTCCTCAAAGGGGGAGGGGGCTTAAAAAAAAAAAACTACGTAGGTCTCTGTGTGTGTTTGAGCAGCTCTCCCATAAACAGAGCTCATGTGCTTGAGTTTTGAGTGCTGAAGTGTAGTCTGGCTGCTCAGAGGCTTTTTGTTCCTGACCCCCAGTGACTGTCTCCACTTCAGTGGAGCACTATGGGAGGGAAGATTGAAAGCTCAGCTGCCACTTACTTAAAACCCAGATGAAGCCCACTGGCTACCAAGAAGCCATGACTCCTCCATCAGGAAGGACAGGGTAGTTCTTTCTGGAGGTTGAAGAGGACTTCGGCTTTTCTCACAGTGTCTGTTTAAAGAACAAAAGCCGCCTGAAGCAGTCTTGGTTTTAGTTAAAGCCACAGCTCACACTGTACCAACTCTGAAACTTACTAGAAGCTAAAATCCCCCAAGGGCACCGTGGTGAAGACATTCTGGGTGCTCCCCTGGAACCTGTGATCCTCTGGGTACAGAGAGCCCTGACTCGCCTCCACTCTTGTCCTGTTAAAGCCTCTGAATGGTTGGGATGGAGGTGGATTTTTTCCTCAGAAAAGTTGGCACGTGTCCCTGCCTTCTCAGTACTCAGTTCTTCAGTATGAGAATGCTAGCTCGTTCTGGATTTGTGCTTACTGTGGTCGGCCTCAGCTTAAATGTCCTGACAGTCTCTGATTTGGACTCCTCACCCCCTCTGTGGCATCCTCCAGGGCTGTCTGTGCCTTTGGTTATCTGTTCTTTTGTGCTGTCAGGAACTTTACATAACTGTCTTCCCGTTTTCGCCTCCCTACCTCTATTCCTTTGAGGAAAGCTAGAGTAATCCTCTTGCCACCTAGGCATGTCCTGTTTTTCAATTTGATATTGGCTGATTTCTTTCAATTTTATCAAAGAAAAAGAAGAAAGCAAAGTCTGAGCAAGGGCCTTTTCTCCCTATGAGTAACACAATAAGCTTTATTTAGGGCAGAAGCTCTTGGATTTCAGCTAGGTGGAGAGGCACTTTTTTCCTCATCTCTGTGCCCTTTCTGAAGATGGACCTTAGGACCTCACACATGTTGCTCTTGTTTTGAGATGCTGGGGAGTGGACCCCAGGCTTGAAGCACACTAGGAAAGTGCTATGCACTAAGCTGTATCCCCACTTTCCTCTCTTCACACCTCTATTTTAAACTTTGAGACAGGGTCTTGCCAACTTGCCCAGGTGTGAGCCTCAATCTGTGGTTTCCCCATCCTCTAGCCTACCACAAAACTGGGCTTAGTCATATTTCACCAGCAACCTCTTGATTATGACAGTGTGCAAACGGCTGGAGCTCAGTTTCCGCTCTGAACAACACAGCAGTTGTTATGTATGAGCTCCTCTCCTGCCCCATGTGTACACCTCATGTAGCTCCAACGGGGCCTGTGGGATCCCGTGCAATCCCATTTCCTCCCTCCAGTGAGGCAGCTAGGGAGTGGGTGAAATCAAATTCGTAAACTCCTTATGCTCTCTTACAGTCATATTATTTTTAGACATAAAAGGATAAGCAGTTAGGCCTAAGAATTAGCTGCATTCACAAAATATTAAAATGAAACATTTCTTTTAAACAATGCCAGTGGATCACAGGGAGGTGGTTTCATTGGGAAATAATTTCAACTTTGAACAAAAACCAAATGACAGGATCAGAGGAATGTGTCTTTTCTCCTCAAGTTTTAGAGGACTCATCTCTTGCCCAGAAATCTTTGTCTTTCTTCATTAGAGAAGTAGAAATTGCACTGGCCGTTAGAGAAAATGGCTTCAGCAGACATCTTGGCGAAGGCAGGAACAGAAGCCTGCACTGACCATATCCCTGTCTGCCCATAGGTTGGTGGCAGTGGCCCTCCTTTACCTGGAACAAGAAGATGCTTTCTGGTGTCTTGTGACCATCGTGGAAGTCTTCATGCCTCGAGACTATTATACAAAGACTTTATTAGGATCCCAGGTACTCTTTAAGATACTATGTCTTGCTCACTGACTTACGGAGTTCCAGTAGTCATGAGCCCTGAGTTAACGCTAGGGGGTGGGAGGACTTGTGTGCGTGCCTGCAGTGACTGCTGTCTGTGAGAGGACTGTGTCCGCTCCCTCAGCTCACTGGGTACCAGAGAAACAGCCCTCCCGGCAGTCTACCAGAGAGCAAAGATGCTAGGGGAGCCTGTTAGGTTAGGTCAGGTCTTCCAGGGTGCAGGTGCCATGCCGGAGATAAGCCTGTAGGGGTCAAAAGGCTACTGAGGGGGCTGGGCGGGCCTCCAGCCTAGAGAAGATACAAGAATCAAAAGGGAGAGTCTTGGCTGTTAGAGGTACGACAGGAGCAGCTTCCTTGGTGCCCTACCCTGCTTTTCTTCAGTTTCTGGGTTCAAATAGTGGTGAGTCCTAAGAGCAGCAGTGGGATTGGCAGTCACATTCCACATCAGAGTATCTGAGTGGTATGTGTTCCATTTCACACCTGGATCTTGACATCAAGGGCCAGAGTAAGGTGGCATGGGCTGGAAGAGGCCAGATCATCTGTCTCTACTGGTCTTGCCTTGGGCACCTCCCTGGGAACTGGGGCTCCCTGCTTTCTCCTCTGTCCTGGCTGTTTTCTCTGATCCCTGGCTGCCTTGCCAGCAAGATGGCTCACCAGGCGAAGTCACTTACACCAAGCTTGATAACCTAAGCTTAATCTCTAGAACCCACATAGTAGAAGGAGAGAAGTGACTCCTGCACATTTTTATCTCCACAACATGGTACATATACAAACACCCACAAGATGATTATTTTTTTAAAAAGGTACAATTGCCATGGGGCTGAACAGGGGATTGGACTCAGCCCTTATGTCCCCATGCCTAAGCTTGTACCTCTGTTTCCACAATGTCACTGGAAGGTGATGAGAAGCTGAGCTGCCAAATTTGGGTTCCTATCCCAGCTGCACGGATGTCCACTGACAGGAGAGAAGCTTCCCTGGTCTCCTTGCAGTCTCTTCATTTGCTAATTACCCGGGAGCCGGCTCCCTGTCAACACATGAGTTTACAAACTAGGACATGGACAATGAGGGAACAAGGCAGTGCTCTCAGTCAGTGGGATTTTAAAACTCAGTGGCTAGTGCTTTGTGTATTCACAGCACTGAAAGCAGAACTCCAGGCTCAAGTGTAAAGCTTCGGTGACTCAGTGTTTTGGAAACGAAAAACTGAAGATTGCTGTTTCTGGACAGTCTGAGTGGGGTTGTCATCAGGTGCTTTTTTACCCAAATATCGGTGCTGATTTCTTCTCTCAGGTGTCTGTAACACATTCATTTATCTACATTACCTCTGAGTAGTATGTGTTAGGCTGCTCCTAACTAAAATAAGTGTGCCATCAGTCCCTGCGCTGGCCTTGCCAGAACCTGGAGTCCCAAGCCTGCTCCCTGCCGCTGCTGTGACCCCACCACTGCTGGCCAGGATTCCCATCTTGCCATCCTGGAAGTGCATGTTGTGTGCCAGGTCCTCACCAGGCATTGCAGACACCAATGAATGACACACTTATCCCATGTCCTCCAGTGCTTAGAGGAGGAGGAGTAAAACAGAGGCCTAAGCAAGCATTCCCTGGCAGCCTGCTCCATGCCCAGCCCTGTGCCAACCCCGGGACAGCCTCAAGTGAGGCACCGTCTGCCACCTCATTGGGAGAAGAGATGTGTACACAGATTTTCTTTGGCCGCAAAGCCAGATGGATATTCTGTGCTTCCAGATGTCTTCAGCTGACCCCCATCCAGATTTATTCTGACACAGAATAAATCCTGTGTCATCACTTGGCCTCACGCTCAGATGTCCATGTCTCTTGTTACTTTCTAGCTTCTTCAATGCAACACCTGGTTCGCCTCACCAGGGACTTGAAGTGTGGGCAAATATGTCATTGTTTGAGTGCTGAAGGGTGAAGTAATGAGCATGAAGTTTATGGTCTGGCTGTCAGGGATGGCGCTCCTGGGGGTAAGGGAGCAGTGCTCCCTGGTGAATGGGCACCAGGTCCAGCTTGACTTCTTAGGCAACTTTTGGGCACCATGGGAGGTTTGACAGCTTTTGGAATAGTTTTCAGGATTTTACATCTAACTTGAGTTTGACAGGGTCAGGTAGACATGGGTGAGAGGTGAGACGGGCTCTAGAGCCTCTTATGAGCACTTTTGTTTTTAAAGTATTAAGAAAATTACATTCATTTCAGTAGTTTATATCTTTGATTATGTCTCTTGTCAGAAAGCAAATGTGCCTTTTTAATCCCCGAATCCCTATATTTTGTTGTTCTTCATGCAACCTAGGGTACATTTATAATGTATAGCCTTAGTTTATAAAAAGCACTATTTTTAGTTATGTATTTACTCATTTGTCTTTTTATTTCTGAGGAAGGGTATTGCTGTGTAGCTGGTCTGGAACTCCATATCTTCCTGCCTCAGCCTCCCAAGTGCAAGGGGTATAGGTGTTCACCATTATGCCTGCTAGATTTTAGCTCTGCCTTTTAAAAGTTAAAGTTCAAATAGAAGTTATTTTAAAAAACAAAAACAAAAAAAAAAAAATCCCAATAAATTGTTGCCATTTTTAAAGTTTTGGACAGTCCTTTAGAGTAATATTTTAAAGTGTTAACATCTGATTAGACTGTGGCTATGTTGGTATTCCAGGAATCCCAGTAATGTTCACACCTATTCTAACCGACTGGGATTGTCTTAGTGATAGTTTCTATTGCTGTGATGAAACACCATGACCAGAGCAGCCTGAGGAGGAAAGGGTTTATTTGGCTAACACTTCTATATCATCATCATCAAAGGAAGGCGGGACAGGAACTCAAGCAGGGCAGGAACCTGGAGGCAGGAGTGGATGCAGAGACCATGGAATAGTGCCAGTTACTGGCTTACCCTTCAAGGCTTGTTCACCCTGCTTTACTATTAAACCCAAGACCACCAGCCCAGGAATGGCACCACCCACAATGGGCTGGGCCCTTCCTCTTCAATCACTAATTAAGAAAATGTGCTACAGAAGTGGTTCTCAATCTGTGAGTCAAATGATTTTTTTTCCACAGGCTTTGCCCAAGACCATCAGAAAACACAGATGTTCACATTACAATTCATAACTAGCAAAATTACAGTTTTGAAGTAGCAATAAAAATAATTTTGTGGTTGAGGGGGTCACCATAACATGAGGAACTGTATTAAAAAGTCACAGCATTAGGAAGGTTGCAAACCACTGCTCTACAGCCTTGCCCGATCTTATGGAAGCATTTTTTTTTCCACAAGATCAAGGTTTCTTTCTCACAGATGCCATTAGCTAGTGTCACGTTGACATAAAACTAACCAGCACAGGGTTACAGTTGACAGCTTTGCAGATTAGTCCAGGGTGTCCTTCCAGGCAGACTCCATGAGCATCTTCAGTGCCTAGGTGCTGCCATGTTGTTCTCCACAGTGGCCATCCAGTTGATTTCCCAGTCCACCGCTCTAGAGAGGGTGTCCTTCCCTGTGGTCTCAGCATGAGTAGACCAGAGCCTTCCCCCTCCAGGGCCTGGCTTTGTGCCGTTGCAGCCTGTTCCTCTCCACCCCCTTTGTGCAGTTGTACTTCTCACCCTAAAGGTACCCTGGGTCACCCACTGGTTCTCATCTCCCAGTCTACTCCTGTGTTCTGGTCTCAGATGCCAACGTCTTTGCCCTCTCCATTCCAGGCTCAGAAGTGAGGTGCTGTGAAGACCTTTTCTTACCTGTTCTCACACAAAGGGGAATTACCTTTGGCTGTTACCATCAAATAGTTTTGAGTTCCACACACCCTCCTCCATTCTCATCAGTTTGGCCAAGGGCCCTCAGCCATCTAGTCTGGCCTTCCTGTTGCAGCTGGAAGGATGGAGGGACCTAGAGAACAGGTCTCACCGTTCACTGTTGGGCATCCTACTAGAAGCCTTAAAATGCTTCTTCTCTGTGATTTGCAGACTGGCAGTGGAAAAACTGGCTTCCAAGATTGGTGTTAATCTTTTCATGTGTCAAATAAAATTGATTAGACTATGCACCTGAGACCCACTGTGAGATCTGAGCTTTTTCCTGTTTTACATACGCACACACACACTTAAAGTTAGATGTTTTGGTGTGGGTCACATACAAAGCAGGGAAAGCCCTTGATGAGGCCTCTCAGCCCTCTTCCTAGAAGTCTGTTCCCTGCCCACAATTGCGCTGATCCACCTATGTAGGTAGGTGCCCTACACATCTCTTCCATTGTGTAGGTCATCCTTGAACCTTATTCAGCCTTCAGACCCCCGCACTGAGTGATTACCTGACCTAACACATCCTATAGCCACCTGTGGCTTGTTTGTAGCCACCGTGGCTTATCTGTTTTGCAGTAGTTTACATGTCTCTTTTAATGCCCAGGAAAGCACAGTGGATAAGTCAGCTATCTCTAACTGTCCTCCAGAAGAGGACAGAGCTGTTTAGAACATCCTTTGTACATGGGTGGACCCAGCTAATACACTGGAGCTTCGATCTTCCTGGGCACCTCTGACTCTAGTGTTTTTTCTACCCACCCTGCCTGTTAAGCCTGCTTGCTGCATAGGTGTGTAATACTGTTATATTTTTTTCCAATGACTCATCTTTCCTCCTGCACCTAAGACTGCTTGTATTCATGGAGTATTGGCAAGCTGACACCAACCTGCAGGCTCTAGGGAGGGTGACATGCAGTGGCCCTGCAGCAAGTCAGGTCAGTGACTCCTGGGCCACAGAGCAGCCTGGCTCCATGGTGTGCCCCACAAGGACATCTGAAAAACAGCTGCATTGCTGCCTGTCCCCATGGGCTCCACCCTCTGTTCTCAGGTGAAGCAACTGTTCTGGTTTGCTTGCTTAGTGCCCTGGCAGACCCAAACCTCTCTCCCCTTTGTTCCCTCTTCAGGTGGACCAGCGGGTGTTCAGAGACCTCATGAGTGAGAAGCTGCCTCGACTGCACACCCATTTTGAACAGTATAAAGTGGACTATACCCTCATCACGTTCAACTGGTTTCTGGTGGTATTTGTGGACAGCGTTGTCAGTGACATCCTTTTTAAAATATGGGACTCTTTCCTTTATGAGGGACCAAAGGTGAGTGTACTCTTTCCAGACAGGTACACATGCTTGACAGACTATGCCAGAGCATGTCAGTAATGGCAGAGTGCCTGGTTCACCTGGAACTTGTGAGGTTTCCACAGCACCAAATTTACCTCAGCGTGAGGTGCTCCTGTAGGCCTTGGGAAACAGCAGTTACTTGCTCACCCATGATGAGAAAGTGTGAAGCTAGGCATGGTAGCTCATAGGGAGAGCCTGTCACAGAATAAGCTTGGAAAATGCTCATAGCTTGGTGGTCCAGCTCGTGTGAGGCCTCTGGGTTCAGTCTCTACCCTTCTCCTGCCCCCACGCATCACACTACAGCACACCAAAAATAATTTTTTTTAAAAATTGCTGGCAAGACAGTACAACAAGCCTCACATAAGCCTGAGTTTAATCCCTGGAATTACAGGTTGGCTGGAGAGAACCAACTTCAGCAAGTTTTTCTCTGACCAACCTATGCCTATGCCCACACACATAAACACACCAAATAAATAATTTTAAATAAGTAAAAATAAAAACAAAGCATAACTAAGGATATATATAGTAGGAAAGCGGTCTTTCTACTCCTGACACCCTGCTGTTTTCTCCACGACTCATACATTGTCTTCCATGTTTCCTAAGTGTATCTAAACTATAGTAAGTGTTTTAACTTACTGCATCTTGGAACTAGTGCATCAGCACTCACAGGACCCATGTTGTAACTTGCTGGTGTTTGTTTGCACATAGCAGCCGCTGTTGGTGGCCACTTTGGTTGTTTCCAATCTCTTGCTGCTTCAGAACAAGCTGCACCTAGCTCTCCTGCAACTTTCATCTTTCTGCATGTACGCAAGGGCATTATAGATTTAGCATAGAATTGCAGGATCAAAGGTTGGTCCGTTGGAAGCATTGGGGTAACACCAGATCGCCCCTCAAAAGAGCCATATGAGTTTACACTTCCACAGCAGTTGAGTTTATCTTTTATCTCATAGCAGACTCAGTATCCAGCACAGGGCATCACCACGTTTATAGTCTGATTTGTCCTTAATACAAAGAACTTTTAACTAAGATCATCAACACTGTTCGTATTGGGCCATAGGTGAATATCTGAAGAGAGCCATGAACAATTTGGCCCTCTAAATAACACTTTGTAAGGATGATGCAGTGTAGGCTGACACAGGCCATTCAGGGTTCTTAGATGTGGAAAAGCAATTTGTTCCAAAGCTGTCTGGACTTGTAACATCACCAGGAGTTCATTCCCCCTAGCCTTGCCCAGAGTGCCCCAAAAACAAATCAGCCAATCCACTGATTATTAAAAAGTCAGGCAGACCCCTGTTCACCAGCAGAGACTGCCCACCTCTAGAGTTGGCAGCTTCACATTTTCAGTCAAAAAAAAGTCCAGGTTTTGATGTTTTTAAAACTGGAAATTAGGTGCATATTCTTTTTTGAATACAAAGGTTAGTCAAATGTGAAAGGATTCCACAAAACTCTTAATTCATAGGAACATTTCTAGTTTGAACTGAACTGTCAGAAACCACAAGTATTTGTTTTCCCATACCAAAGGGCCTTGTCTAGTCCTGGAAGTCAACCGTCAGCTCAGGAGTCTGCCCAAGGGTAGGGCCCTCAGAATACCTCCTCCGGCCATGCCCAGGGAGACCTCCAGAGTCCACCTATGCCTATAGCCATAGTGTGTCTTCAGTTACGGTTTCCCTGTCTTTCCCACAGGTTATTTTTCGTTTTGCCCTGGCACTTTTTAAATACAAGGAAGAGGAGATCCTGAAATTGCAAGATTCGATGTCCATATTCAAGTATCTTCGTTACTTCACTCGAACTATTCTTGATGCCAGGTAAATTGATAGGAGTCTCAGACTCAGAGCTGTCCGGGTGCCGTAGGTGAGAGGGAAGCTCTTTCCTAGAGAAAGAAATGGTAAGGGCCGTGGCCTTCCAGTGGTGTGAAAAAACAGAAATGGATATGATTTTGTCCTTTATTCAATGAAAAAAATCCCAGTAACTGAAAGCAGTGGCTCATGCCTTAAGCTTTTCTCTATCTCTGATATCACAGAGTCTATTACAAAAATGGGATGGTAGAATAAAAAGTAAAATAAAATAAAAGAGCAGCCTAAACTCAAAGGCTCTCAGAGGGAAAAGGCCTCCCTTGACCCATGAAGAAGCCTCGGCTGGGAGAAAACGAGCCTAAGAAGAGAGAGCAAGAATTGTGCTTGACAGAGATGCTTTGGGGCACAGAGGTATGGAAGCAGGTGTGTTTGAGGACAGTGGGAGGGGCTGCCCAGTCGTGTCAGGGTGCTGGGGCTCATGGCTACAGCCTAGCCTGGCTGCTGTAGACAATGCTCAGGACTTTGAGCTTCATTCTAAACATATTGGAAAGTCACTGAAGGCATAAGAAGACTGGGGCAGGACTGGCCAGCGGGAGGTAGACTGTGACTGTTAGAAGGACCCAAGGAAGAAAGGGGGTGGCCCAGAGACAGTGTCCTGAGAGTTGGAGGAAAAGAGGACAGACTGCAGAGATTCAGGATTTTGAATTCAGAAGAACCATAGGCCTCTAGCTTGGACAGCTGGACTATTCATGAATCATTTCCTCATACATATACACACAAATCTCCAGCCACATAGTTGTTTCCTGTCTGAGCTGCTGTTTTCTCTCAGCAACAATTGGTGATTGCTCTGGCTCTGGTGGCTAGGGAAGACATTGGCAGTGGAAATGGTTGGCAGAAGCCATACCAGGCCTCTGTGAGGTCACCTCTGTTTTTAGGATCTTTTACCTGGGGAATATGTTTTCAAGATGGTTTTAGGAATAGGTACTAATACTAAGAACAACCTGGATTGTACCCAGTGAGAAAGAGTATCTGAGAGCGTTTACTGTGAAAGATCGATGGAAAGTTTAGAATGAGGATTTTGTTCATCTCACATTGGTCAAGATTATTAAGAATGACTGAATGAATTCCCACATGACAGCTGACACTGTGTTGAGAGCATTTTGGTTCCAGAGACAGATTCTGCCTCACCCTGACAGTCTTAAGGGGGATGTCAAGGCTGCCTGGAGGTAAATCCCCCTCCTCTACTTCCTGTCACCATTGGACAGAACAAGGCCTCTCCCATCTTGCCCGATCCTACAGCGCCACCTTGTGAACGGTTTTTGTTGCAGTTTTCCCTTTGCTTTAGAAAGTCAAGGTGGCGAGACTAAGAGTTCCTAAATTGTGTTGAGTTCCAGTGGTTGCTCCCCCTGTCCTACAAACCCCAAACCTTTCCCCCCGCACTCTGGCTCCAGGGAAGTTGCTGAGGCTGTAGGTGCCTTGGCCCCATCTCCACAGTGAATTTCTGGTATTTTAAGGAGCTGCCCAAACTGGTGGTCTAAGGAGAGGCAGTTCTGCATAGTGGATAGGTTCTACAAAGAGCGGCAGGGTTCATAGCCAGATACATTCAGGATAGACTGGATGATGCAAGATACAACTGGTTGGTGTTTGTGGCAGGACTTACAAGAGGCTAAGCATGCAAGGGCAGTGTCTGAGGTACCTTGTAGTGCAGCCTGGGCCCTTTCAGTTTGCTGTTTACAACTAGAGTAAATTCATAATTTCATACCCCTCTTTTCCCTTTCTATAGCAAGGACTGGGATTTCTGCTTTACAGAGCCTGTGGCTCACGGAAGACAAAGAACAGTGGTGGGCTTCTGGTTCTCAGTCTCAGAGCTGTTCCCAGCTAGCTCACAAAGCTGGGGATCATCAGGCCTGTGTTAACTTCTGGAGCTTGCCTCTCCTAGAACACACAGGGAACTTGGCCTATAAAAAAAGCCAACCAGTCTCACCTTTTTACTTCCTTGTGAGAGAAGCTGTTTGAAATGTAAAAAGGAGAGGGCTTGACTATGCTTTGTACACCTATCCAGCGGCTAAGGAGCAGCCCATGGCTGACAGGGGAATGGGCCCTTGCTGTCGGAAACAAGGCCACAGGCCTGGCAGAATCAACTAGGAAGTGGCCTACCCCTTGGGGCAGGAGAAATTGTGTCTTTCTGTGATACCCAGGAAGCAGTATAACTGCTTCCCACAAGTGCTGGAGAGCAAAGCCAGGCATCCAGACAGTTCTTAGCTCTGTCTTTATTAAACACAGACCAGTAGCTGAAGTATTACAAACCTAAGACTTTGTTGTCAGTTGGTGCCTTGACAAGCTTCACGTGCCTCTGTAGACTGTGTCTTGGCACAGGTCATATGGCACATAGGGTCTGATATTTGATGTTATCACCACGCCTGGTCATTGGTGTCAAGACAGTTTTCCTTAGCATTTAATATGCCCTGCCTCAGGCTGGCCCTGAAGACTCATCCTCATTGACACCTGCTGTCACTTAGTGAACATTAGGTTATTAGTGCCTGCATGTGGGAACCATATGGAGTGGCACCTCTGTAGCTCCCGGTATATAGATAAAGAATCAGGTCAAACAAAACTAAAATCCAAGTGGATCAAAGACCTAAACATAAAACCAGACACACTAAATCAGAAGAAAAAGTGGGGAAGAGCCTAGAACTCATTGGCACTGGAAACAACTTCCTGAACAGAACACCAGCACCACAGAATCTAAGGTCAACAATCAATAAATGGGACCTCATGAAACTGAAAAGCTTCTGTAAAGCAAAGGACACTGTCATCAGAACAAAACGACAGCCTGTAGACTGGGAAAGGATCTTCACCAACCCTATATCTGACAGAGGGCTAATATCCAGAATATATATAAAGAAATAAAGAAGTTAAAAAGCAACAAATCAAGTAATCCAATTAAAAAATGGGGAACAGAGCTAAACAGAGAATTCTCTGTAGAGGAATATAGAATGGCAGAGAAACAAACACTTAAAGAAATGGGCAATGTCCTTAGTCATCAGAGAGCTGCAAATCAAAATGACCTTGAAATTTCACCTTACACCCATCAGAATGGCTAAGATCAAAAACTCAGGTGACAATACGTGCTGGAGAGGATGTGGAGAAAGGGAACCCTCCTCCATTGCTAGTGGGAATGTAAACTTGTACAACCACTCTGGAAATCAGTCTGGTGCTTTCTCAGACAATTAGGAATAGCGCTTCCTCAAGATCCAGCTATACCACTCCTAGGCATATATCCAAAATATGCTCAAGTACACAACAAAGACATTTGCTCAACCATGTTCATAGCAGCTTTATTCGTAATAGCCAGAAACTGGAAACAACCCAGATGTCCCTCAGTGGAGGAATGGATACAGAAATTGTGGTACATTTACACAATGGAATACTACTTAGCAATTAAAAACAAGGAAATCATGAAATTTGCAGGCAAATGGTGGGAACTAGAAAAGACCATCCTGAATGAGGTATCCCAGAAGCAGAAAGACACACACACAGTATATACTCACTTATAAGTGGACACTAGACATATAATATAGGATAAACCTACAAAAATCTGTACACCTAAAGAAGCTGAGCTAGAAGGAGGACCGTGGGTAAGATGATCAATCCTCACTCAAAAAGGCAAATGGTATGGACATTGGAAGAAGGAGAAAACAGGAAATAGGACAGAGCCTACCACAGAGGGCCTCTGAAAGACTACCCAGCAGCGTATCAAAGCAGATACTGAGACTCATAAACAAACTTTGGGCAGAGTGCAGCAAATCTTAGGAAAGAGGGGGAGATAGTAAGACCTGGTGAGGACAGGAGCTCCACAGGGACAGCAACAGAATCAAAATGTCTAGGTACAAAATATCTGAGACTGATACTCCAACCAAGGACCATTCATGAATATAACATAGAACCCCTGCACAGATGTAGCCCTTGGCAGCTCAGTATCTAAGTGGGTTCCCTAGTAAGGGGAACAGAGAATGTCTCTGACATGAACTCAGTGGCTAGCTCTTTGACCGCCTCCCCCTGATCAGGGAGAAGCCTTGCCAGGCCACAGAGGAGGACAATGCAGCCAGTTCCGATGAGACCTGATAAGCTAGGGTCAGATGGAAGGGGAGGAGGACCTCCCCTGTCCATGGACTTGGAGAGGGGTATAGGAGGAGATGAAGGAGAGAGGATTGGGAGGTGATGAGGGAGGGGGCTACAACTGGACTACAAAGTGAATAAACTGTAATTAATATAAAAAATAAAAATTTAATTAAAAAATTCAAGTTCATTAACATGAAAAAAAGAAGAATCAAGTCAAAACGGGTTCTGCCCTTAGGGTCCTCCCATGGCCACTGTGCCTTCCTGCCTCTATGCATAAGACAGGCCTGGGCTCCCAGGGTGATGTCCTCCATCATACAATACTTGTCCCTTTCTCATTTCCCTGCTCTCTAGGCCATGCTCTCAGCTCTGCTAATGCTTGTCTCTGCCCTTTGTCCCACCAGGAAGTTGATCAGCATCGCCTTTGGTGATCTGAACCCCTTCCCTCTGCGCCAGATCCGGAACCGGAGAGCCTACCACTTGGAGAAGGTCCGGCTGGAGCTTACAGAGCTGGAGGCCATCAGAGAGGATTTCCTTCGTGAGCGGGACACTACCCCTGACAAAGGCGAGCTGGTCAGCGATGAGGAGGAAGACACTTGAATGAACCCCAACTCGAGGATGCTGCTCTTCTTGCCTTTATAACCAAAAGTAGCAAAGGCACCTCTCTGCACATCAGCTGCCAGAATGTAACATCTGTGGCCTCAGGGTATCTGCTGGACAGATGTCCAAAGCTAAGCTGCACTTTCTCGTCTCCCATGTGGGGCCATGGGTCTAGTGGCTTTACAGCCAGTTCCTGTTGTAGCATTCAGTCACATGCATCACAGTCATGCTTGCTGCCTGATCGATAACTTGGCCAGTTGACGGTTTCCAAGGCCCAGTTTACAGCATCTGCCAGTGGTATGTGTGTTTCACCCTGCAAGAACTGCTTTGCTCCACATCTCGCCATGCTCGCTCTTTCTTTTCAAGGGCAGCACTGTGGAGGAATGCACACCGGGCTTCAGCAAGGCTGCTTCCAGGGGCAAGAGGTCATCATAAGAAGAGAGACCTCTTAAAAAAGCAAGCACAACTCTTATTTAGAACTGGCCTCCCAGGGAGCGTGGGAGCCCTCTGCTGGTGGCTCTGCACTGCCAGCAACACCCCTTTCTGGACTAGCCTTTGCCCTCACCGGCAGCCTTTCAGACTGTAGTGCTCATCCTGCTCTGTAGCCAGCCCCCACACTTCTCATTACCAGCTCTTTTGCCAGCTGTCTGTCCCAGTTTGCAGGAGACCTGGCACACCTCTGAGAGCTGCTGTGGAAAGCTCTTCTAGCTAGGAGGTGACTTGTAGACATCTCCAAGTGTGGCTGGATTGGGTTACAAATGAACCTTGCCGTAGGCCCACCCCAGCATGAAGGGACGTGGGAAACTCAGATCTGTGGCTTGTGGGATTCTGGGTGGCAGTGTCCAGGGCTCTGCTATCACTCCAGCACAATGACTGGATGGGGAATAGGGCTGATTGCCAGCTTCCTAGATCTAGAAGCAAGAGTGATGAGCTCTCCCAGTCTCTGTGTTGCCCAGACCATCCTTGTCCTCAGCAGGATCTGGGGCCACTGTGGCCTCTGGCAGAGCCGACTCTGGGGACTTGGAACATTCCCTTCTTCAAGCCCAGAGAGGGTCTGAACAAGAGAGATCATTTTTGCTCAGTCCTGGAGTATCCCTGATGGCTGGCTGTCACGAAAAACTAATCTCTAACAGTGTTATTGGAACACAAGGGAAACAGCCTGAAGTGGACTATCTTCCACTACCTGGAAAAAAATCGGAAACAATCCTTAGCTAGTGTAAACACACTCAGATTAAGAACTGGGGCAAGGCAGTTTCGAGAAGTACTTTTTCCATGACCCATTTTCCTGTTTTTTGCTGTCTGCCTTCTAGCACTTGAATGGTTAGGTCAGTTTTTCAGCATCAAGACTGTGTTCAGCTTCTCTAAGAGTTGCTTCATTTATTGGGGCCCGGCTTTTTCGGGCAGCTGTCTGGAACTAAACAGTGGCCTCACTGCTGTTCTCAGGGCCTCCCTGAGACCAAATGCTGGGAGAACCCCCACCCCTGTGAGTTGATGTCTGTCAGCCTTGGGGACAGCTGCTGAGGTGGTGCAGTAGGCTGGGGTTGGAGCCTCATGGCCCAGCTCCAGCTGCCCCAATTTCAGTTGCCATGTCAGTTTCCCACTGGAAGTTCAAATATGTATTTGGTGTAAATGCTCTTTTAGCAGTGGGTTGCTTTTGTCCTGTGTGCCCAGTGGAGGTATATTTAAAGCACCTGGTGATGCTGGAGACATGGCTTAAAACACAGACCTGGAATGTGAGGCCCTGGGTTCCAAACCAGCAATTAACAAAAAAAAATCCCCAGTATGCATGGGTCTCTGTTCTGCCATTCCTGGAGAGGCAGCGTTAATTTCCTAGGCAGTTAGCACTGGTGACCAGGTCAAAGTCTCAAGAGGTCCAGAGGGAATGTACACTTAGAGGCTCTTCTCCCTGGAATAAATGATTCAGTGTCTGGAGAGCAAAGAAGGAATGGTTGCTCTCCTCCTACTTTGGTGACAGCTTGACAGAGGCTCCTCCCAGAGGCGTAACTCCAATGATTTGAGCCATCACCTCTCATGCCCTCATCACTGAGACCTGTCTTTACCACCCAGTGCAGGCTCCAGTCTTCTACCAACCACTATGGCAGGTGCCCCTAAAGTCAGAGCTGCTCCTGCTGCTGTGCTTCTGAACCTTTACCCAGCATGCTGCCCGCGGCTCCTGCCTGGTGAGCCTTGTGGGCTGAGAAACCCAAAGCATAGCCTCCAGCATGTGGGTCCAAATGCTCATGCCACAGTAGGGAGACACCCTGCCCTCAGCGCCCCATCTGGTGGGACTTACCAATATCTCAACTGTTAATACTTTTATATTTTCACTACATTTTATATTTTTATAGACTATTTTATATTAAGGTTTTTCTAGATTCTGTACAACTTTTATATAACAAGTTCTATTTTGTGTGCACAACTCCCTTGTATGTATTTATATCAACCTGAGCCTCCCAAATTGCAGGTCCATTTTGGGCCACCTTTCCCCCTTAGCCTTGACCATCACTCACTTCTGCTCACCCAAGTAGCCCCAGGGCATGCTGACAGCTGAACAGTAGCTGATCGCTGTTTACTCCTCTGGTGTTTGTTAGCGAGGGTATGTTGATATGGGACATACTCCAGGCGATGCCCAGTCAGGTTCTGTTAACCACGTCCCTGCACAAGCCCTTATCACTTTGTATAGGAATGCCTTCCTGGTGCACCTGCCTCCTGGTGGGTGGCTGGGCCTGGTCACAGAAGTCTTTGAGGACAGGCTGGATGCAAGCCCAATATATGAGGTTATTCTGTGGGCAACGGGAGGACTCGAGGGCACGCTCCCAAGGGGCTGTCCTTTCATATCACAGCAGCTTCTATCCTGATCTTTGAGTTAAAGATTAGACTTGTAAAGGAAGAAATAAACTAATTTGTATTACATTCCACCTCGAGAGGTAGTTGTGGTCATTTGCAAAAGAGGCCTCTACATGGGGTGTGCATGACAGGCTTCTCCAATATGCCTGTTGATTCTTATGTCCCTGCCCTTGATTCCACTGGGGTAGGAGAGACAGGATGCCCTTCTCAGCACTGGCTGACAGACCTGAGTTTCCCTGAGTGCCATGGCTGAACTATGGGTAGAGGCCCAACCCTTAAGTGGGATACTGTCTGTATCCGGAACAATCTACCCCACCCTCACCACCTCACCCCTTGGGAGGCAGGTACCCTTTTGCACCAGCTGTGTGTGTCCAGCCTGAGTCATGGCTTGTTTGCCTCCTGTCTGGGTGGACAGCTCAGGCCCAGCTGCCACTAGGCGCTCCCCCAGCCATCTCTGGAAAAACACAAGAATGATTAGGACCAAATGTCTTTCCAACACAGAGGGGTGGGGTGGGGGAGTGCCGGTGACCAGGGCTCATCAGTGTAGGCCTGGACCTGGTATGCTGCTGCTGTTCTTTGGAAGACATGGATTTATTCAGCAAGACTTGGGAGGCTCCTGAGGTCACACAGCTTCATAGTAATGGCAAAGGCCAGAGCTGCGGCAGGGACCCTAGGGCTCTGCCACAGTGCCACTCAAGCTGTGTATGGGTCTGGAGCAAGGAAATGGCTCTGCTCCCATCTTTGTGAGGAGTTGCCATGGGATGTGGACTAGGCAAAGCTGTAGGAAGCCATTACTCAGAGTGTGGGTCCCTAGGGCCTCTTTGGATCCACAAGGCTGCTGCGGACGCAAGCCAGAAGCAAACCCAATGCTTCTGCACCCTCAGCACAGTACTGTTGGATGCACACATGCCACCAGTGACTTGCCCTCCCAGGTAACCTGGTAGACTGCCTGAATTTGGCCAGGAGCCTGCCTGAAGCCCAGAATAGGAGGTAGGGGCTCAGGACCTATTCTGGGCCTGTACCTCCTAGCCATGTGCCCTTGGACCAGTCACCTCCCTCTACTGTGAATTTCTCACACGTTCATGTTCAGGATGAGAGGGCAAGATCAAATGGAACCCAGAGCTGGGTAAGCACCTTTGCTCCACCCTTCCTACTCCTAGGTTGAGGAAGACCTGGGACAGTCAGGACACTGGCTGGTCCCACCCTCTGGTGCCAACTCGTAGTCTCAGGGGGTGACTTCCTGTACCCCCATTTTCAGCGGCCAAGTGCCTTCACAAATGAAATGGGACAGGTACCCCTCACAGAACCTCAGAGCCTCAAACTCGGAGGGGTAGAAGGCCTTCCGGAAGACTCAAGAGGATCATTCACAGCTAGAAGGCGCAGGCAGAAAGGGACCAGGCCCCAGAGGGAGGCTCAGTTCTCCCTGTCACTAACTGGGGTCCTTTTCAAAGTACCTGCATGCCCAGCTGCTCTCCAGTAGCAGATCTGACCTGTGCCTGCTATTGTACCACAGATAGTCCCTGTGGGAGACAAGACAGCCTCTATCGCATGAGTGCACGTGGCTTCATTCCTGTGAAACCAGGTCTCCAAGGACCTTAGTGGAAGATAGCAGGCAGGGGTGTGGAATGAGTCGGAATGGTGAACAGGACTCCCTGGACCTCTGCCAGCATGCACGTACCCCCTGCAAAGAAGAACTTCCTGCTCCCACTACAAAACTTTCCGGAGATAAGCCTTCCCTAGAAGCCACCTTTACCCACTTCAGGGCCTTCCGTGTCTCCATTAGGCATTTTGATTTGTCCCCAAAAGGATAGAAAACCTGCTGGCTGCCGAGGCTCCAACAAGGGACAGGGTAATAACCATTGGACGAGAGCAGTAAGTAGCGTTCATTTTAGAGTCTCCAAATCTAAGACAAGGCCAGACTACTTTGAAAGGGTAGATACTCATTTATGTAAAACAATAACAAATGTGCAAACTGTTAGAATAAAAAAATACCTTTTCTGAGAGGAAGGGGGAGGTCCCCAGCCTGCCACTGTGCAGGGGTGGGGTGGGGTTAGCACCATTAGGACACGAGGAGCGGGGCTCCACCGCAGCCTGTGGTGGGGCGCTGAGGTCTGTGTGTCGTGGGTCAGTTTGTCTGTGCATCCTGATGTGCGTTGGTGTAGGCCAGGACTCTGTTTAGCGTCTGGCCACCCGCTGATGGCCTCGGGAAGGGACACCACGGCTGAGTGGGGGACATGAGCGACAGCACTGAGCTCGGATGGTGGGAAGCTGGCAGCGGCCCAGTAGGCGCAGTGTCTCACAGAAACTGAAGGATAGGCGATCCCGCTCACAACCTGGGAACGGGCAGAGATGGGAAGGGGTGCAATGGGATGGTTAGAATCCGTGGGCATGCCATCAGAACCACACTTCATCACCCAGTAATGCAATTGAAAGGCCACCGTATCTCCATTGCCTTAAGACCAGCAGCCAAGGGGAAACCCAGTTTCTGAAAGAGGGCCCCAGGATCAGAACCCTAGGTTAGGTCCCTGGCTGTTGTGCCTGCCTTACCTACCCTTGGACTACTGACACTGCTGGACTTAGCCTTCTGGGAGAAAGGTTCAGAGACCCTGTCCTTTACCACCTCAAGAGGCCATGAGATGCCCAAAAGCCTACTGGTCAGGGATGCAAATCTCTAGCCCCTATCTTTATCCCTGCTCACCCCTGGTACCAACGTTCTCTCAGGCACTTATGTCAATATGCACTTATGCAATATGTCACTCCACACCCCCTGCCACCTCCTTTAGTCCCACGTGCCTCTGCTGCCACGACTGCACTAGCCCCTCATGTCCCAGCCTCATGTGGGCCATGTTCATCCTCAGCATTTCTGTGGCAGGACACACTGGGTGGGGAAGCCCAGAATGTTGGACTTGGGCAAGGCCACAAAGATCATCAGTAGTCCCCAAAGACTGGGTGCAGGCCCCTGGTGACAGGGCATGGTGGAGGGTGATTCTTAAGCCCTAACTGTCAGGAGCTGAGGTCTGGCAGGCTCTCCTGGGAAAGCTATTTTGGGAAGTGGCTTCCAGGCCCTGGCCTCCCTCCCAGTGCTACTACTTTGTTGTTGGCTGCTGCTGAAGCCACAGCTGCCCAGACCCCTGCTCACTTGAGCACACACCCTGGGCAGCGGGAGCAGGAGGGTAACTGTGAGCCCTGGTCGGGGACATCCCCAAGTGCTTCAGAGGGCACAAGGCAGCAAACTCCAAACTCCTGCACTCTAGCTCCCCTGGGTGACCTCAGGCAGGCTTAATCACTGGGTGAAGGTTTCCTCTTGATAACGGTCCCCACCTCCACAGGGAATAATGACTAGGCATGTCAGCTGCCTTGCCGTGGTGATCACACACCCTGGAGTTTCCAGGGTTTCCAAATGTCCTGTCACGCAGTCTCAAAAGCCAAAAAAACATCCTGGAAGCTCCAGGACTTTGGGATCCAAAATTCTTCCCTGATTGGCCCCCTTCACAAGGCTTATTCGGGCAGGGGGTAGGGAGGGATATGGTGATGACATGGGGGTGGGGACAGACACTCTTCATGTGGGTGGGCATTATATAGCAGCCTAGCCTAGTCCTTGCTAACCCTACCCCCCCACCCCCCTTAGAGAGCTTGGAAATAGCAAGCATTTCTGACAGAGCCTAGGTTCCTGCCATCTTCCTGTCTGCACCACATGGGACCATAGCTACCCCAGTCCCTGCCAACCCTGAGCTTGTTGGGAGAGAGACGAGCCATGGGCACAATCTTCCCTGAAGGCAAGCACTGGTTCAACACCCATCGCAGCTACGCTGACGTGTCTTAGAGGTTTGTGGAATAGACGAGGGGAAGTAATGAGATGGAGACAAGCAAGGATGGCTTGACAAACCCAGGCTGGCATTTCCCCAGCACCTTGAGGCAATGGGATTCAGGGCAGAATGGCACAGTAGTAGCTGCCCTGGTCCTGAGCCAGTACCACGAGGGGCCAGTTACTTGTAGTGAAGGCTGTGCAGGGCAGAGAGAAGCCTATTGCGGTTGAGACCATAGGCTGTCCTAGGGACAGGTGCAGTGAATCAGTAGGTAAATGGCAAGCTCTTGCATTCCCTCAGGTGTCAAAGGTGGCCTCAAACCCCCCCCCCGCCTTTGCAAGGGAGTACAATAATGGCTGCTTAAGGGGAGTGTGAATAAAGCAGCCTATCCTACACTAAGCAGGGGCCCCGGCAGTACCCACCCTCAGACCCCACTAACACAAGAATAAGGATTGCCAGCCTCTCTATGCATGAGGAAATGACAAACCATATAGGGAAATAGAGCCCAAGACTACACAGCTGGTGAGCGACTACCCAGATGTGACTCAGGGGCCACACTGTTTCCTCTGTTCAGCACTGCTGCGGACAGCTGAAGCTTCAGGAAGGAGGTGATTTCCAGAGCCACCTCTGGCTCAGATCTTTGCTCCATAATGGCCCAGCTGGCCAGGAAACCCATAGTGAGCAGCAGCAGCAGCAGCAGCAGCAGGGCCCTGAGAGGTCCTTCCTGTGGCTCCACTGCTCGCTGCAGGCAGCCACCCTCCGAGGAATAGGGAATGCCCACAGCCAAGGACATCCTTGCCTCGCTGGGAGACTATGACCCTAAGAGAGAAAAGCTTGCCACAGCTGAGAGGTCAGGAGGCTTTGTCCAGTCCCCAAGGCTGTGGAAGCTTCCTGCGGGATGCCTGAGTAGCTGGGATTCCCCTTGGCTGTTTCCCAGTTTTGGACCGTGGCACCCTGTGGCCTCCTAGCTACTGCAGCCATGTGGTTTGGGCCGACTGTAAATAGAACTGCAGCTGTTATGGCACTAACATCTGGATAATTCTCTAGTTACCAGCCATCCCTCTCCCCTCAACCCCACCATCCCCAGGGGTAGGGAGACACTCACGTGGTAGCTCAACCAGCTCACAGTCCTCAGTGGCACATGGCTGTGAGCTCTCAGGCCAGGCCTCATGGCCACACTGGTCACTGTCTTCCTCTGCCAAGCCTGTCTGAGTGTTCACACATTTGACCAGACGCCGCTGAACACCACCACCGCAGGGGGCTGAGCACTG